GTGGTACTCAGTCAAAGGTAGGACTTGATGATCTTGGAGGTCTTTTCCAACCTTAATGATTATATAAGTCTATAAATCAGGAAATCCTTGTTTTTATTTAGCAATAAATATATAATATATGGGGTTTTTTTAAATTTGCCTTCTTTTAATTTTTTCCTTCCTGCCTCTCTATGATGCTGCTTATTTACCAAAACAAATTTTTCAAGAAGACACTTTTATGAACTTTATTTTCCAAAAAGTTACTTTTAATTCTGAACCTGGGTTCAAATTAGCTGTCAAACAAAATATTCCAAATTTCCTGCTCAATTCTACAGTTCTAAATCTATTTTAAATGCTTCAAAAGCGCCTCTTCTCTTTAATTTGTTCCCATGGCTACCATTCAAAAGTTTCATTCATTTTCTGAGCGGAGAACTCTCCAAATCGTTATTGCAATCTACCAGTTGACTTTTCCTTCTTAATCTAGCAGAAGGCTCTAAAGCCTCAGACATTGCAGCAGCAACAGAAACAGGGTTACCTTCCAGCCCTTGGTGCTCGATGCTCCCCGCAGGTTAAATCCTCGCCTGGAGCTTTCCTGCGGCTCTGCCTCGCTGGGGTCCCAGCGCAGGAGGATGCTCGGCTGCCCGGTGCCATCCTCTGACCTCCCTCCGCTCTGCTTCACCCGCCTGCTTCCAGGGAGCTCGGGGTTCCTGCACACAGGAGTCCCTCATGTGGAGGGCTCAGAAATGCCGGGGGAGAGAGCTGAAGGGGAGAGGAGCCGCTGGTTCCCCCTCCTCAGCTCCCTGCAACAGGATAAACAGGTTGGGCGAGGTGCGGCTGTCCAGGGTCACGTTTCAGCACGAGCCACCCGGGGCCAGGTACGCTCAGCAAGAGTACGGGGATGTAAAAGGTTAATCTTTATTTAACTCTGTGCAGAGAAACCTCCCCACATGTCCCAGGTGGGGGCTGCTGCCAATGCCTGCTTGAGTGGTGGCTGGTGTGACTGGTGAAGGTGCTGGTTTGCTCTGGGATGGTGTGGGAGAGGTCTGAGATCCCTGGAAACTGTCGATTTGTGGAACAGATCAGAGTGGGGATGTTGAGCTGAAAGGTGCTGGGCAGCACCGAGGGCTCAGCCTGGAGGTGGGGAGCCCCTGTTGCTCTCACCCTTCCTCCTGAAGGAGCAGACCTGGCTGTCCCCAGCCTGCAGAGCACTGGGGTGACTGGGAAAGGCAAGGAAGGACAGAGGGAGGCCCTTGGTGGTGACGGGCTGCAATCACAGATATCCATGGGGTTTCTGGCTGTTCACACACCCTTCACAGAGGTTAGAAAAATCCCCTATTGGGAACAGTTCCTCCATCCCTGCTGAGCTGGGGAACATTAAGTAGGTGATAATAAGCGGTCCCTGAGTGGGAGGGCCTGCTCTCCTCTGGAAAGAGCTACTCCAGACAATTTATCATTCAAACAAAGAGGGGGAAAAGGGTTAAACACTGCCCGGCCTCCCCAGCCAGTGGTGGCTTTGGTTATCTGCAGCATGGCTGCAGGGCTACATGGTGCCTGTACATGTTTGGGGATCAGGAGTTAAGTGTTTAAATGATAAGCGATATCTTAAAAACATAAGTTTAGCAATGAATCTTTACCGACAATACTATACTATTAGTTAATAGGCAGAATTAACTCACTGGCCTGGGGCCAAGCCCGTCACAGCCAGAGCCAGAACAGCTGAAGCTGCTTTTCACTTGGGTTTTGCTTTTACCGGACTTTCTGCTGCAGGGAGACTCCAATTTCTGTAAAAATATGCTTGTGTTTTCCTCCTCCCAGCCTGCCCCTGTAAGCTCGAGGTTCCTCGGAGCCCAAGGGATTCAGCCAGGACCTGGAAAGCTTTCCTCCTCTCGCATGCAGAGGTGTGACCAAGGGTGTCGATTCAGGACCAAGGGTGCTCATTCTCTGCAGGGCATCTCTCTGTGGCCCTGGACCAGCTCCCTGTCTGCTCTTGCTGGGACTTTACAGGCAGATTTACTCTAGGTGCCAGCATGGGACTCATTCCCCATCTCCCCCATTCCACACAAACCTCCCTTTCCCTCAGCTGGGGCATTGAGACTGACCAAGTCCCTTCCTTGGACCAAAGAAGCATCGCCTGAATCTTTCTGGTAGCTGAGGCTCCTTGGAATCACCAAAGACAACTGCACTGAGCCATGAGTCTGTGCCTGACAGCTCTGCGTCACCACTTGCTGCTTTCCTTTGTACCTCCCTTGACTCCCAGCTGCACCTCTTTAACCTCACAGAGGGTGAGAGGGAGCCACCTCCTCCAGGTGTGATGAGCCAAGGGTTTCACATGCAAATTTCTTTCTGCATCAGGAACTGAAAATGCAGCATTAAATGTGTCACCATCATACCTGTTTTAATGTCCACCTAGATGTCATCTCTCCTGGCTCTATCAGCCTGGGAACCATCTTTTGATATAAACTAAAATGTGGGTGCAGCTGGAGGGGTGGTTGTTCCATTTTGTGACCCCCATCAAGGCTGTACCTGATGCTGTCTGCAGCAGGGCTTGAGTGTCCTGTGGCAGTGCTGCCCCAGGGTTACTTGTGGGCAGCAAGGACCAGCAAAACCTGAGTAACCTGACTTCCAGCTGGCCACATCCAAGCTGCCTGATGGTGGTCATGTCCGTGTGATACAGTTCCAAGGCCACTTGTCACCAGATGGCAGCAAGGAGAGCATCAGCTCACAGTGTGGCTGAGGACAGCAGTGAGGATGCACAGTGCTCCCTGGTCCATGGCCAGCCTCCACTGAAGCCACTAAATCTGGTGCAGAGTGAATGGAAGGTGCAGAGAAGGACAATGGAGGAGGCCTGGAGTCCCTTGTCATGCACGGTTCTTTGCAGCACTTGCTGGTCTGCTCAGATATTGAGGCATGGTGACCAGAGGAGCTTGTGGGATTCAGGTCAGAAGGTGGATACTGGTGACAACACCTGCACTGGGAACAGCAACTTTGTGAGGGTGGCAGTGGAACCTTGGCAGGCCTTCCCATGGATGCCAAAAAATGCAACAGTCATAGAAAGCCCTTCCTGGGAGCAGAGTGAAGGTGTAAGCTGGGACCAGTGCTCACAGCTCATAACTGGCCATGAAGAGCATCTTCAGGGCACAACCCAGGCTCCAGGGAGCATGTAAGAACTTCAAAGTTAGTGCAGCAGCCAGATGAGTCTGCATAGTCCAAGGTCCATCTCCATCAGCAACACCCCAAGGGGGATCTCAAAAGAGAAGAGAGAAGGTCTCCAGTGACTGTTCCCTTGGGACAAAATTCCCATTGTGTCTGGCAGTGCAGTCCTGGAGAGCTTCAAGAAAATCCTGAGGGTCTGGGTAGGCACTGGCAAATATACAAGGCTGCTGCTCTTGGACCCCAGGTTTCCATTTGGGAGAATTGATGGATCCTTGGGAACATGCAGGATACAGAAGCGCTGGGATCCAGGAGGACTGAAATGAGGGTATGACGAGTTTGGAAATGGGGAGTGCTTTCAGACATCTGATGGGAAATGCTGGCTGCTCCAGAGCAGTAGGGGGTGAGGTAAGGCTGGGACTGGGGGAGCCTAGTACAGGGCTGGAATGGTAGGTAACTGCTGGGGATCCTTGGGATTCTTGCCCTGGAGAAGAATACATCTGAAGGAAAGACAAGCAAGGCCACTGGCTGTCCTGGCCTTCAGCCTCCTTCCTCAATGCAAGAGTGACCCCAGAAGAGTTTCTAATGATGAAAGCTTCTCCACACATGATGGAGCTGGGCCACAGGGTTTTCATGTTGGATGTGGGGCCAACCTGGATGAGCAGCAACATCTGCAGTGACAAGAACTCCCAAAGCAGACCAGAGCCTGCAGCTGGCCACACTGAGCTTGGGAAGATCATTTGGCTCATGCATGTGGCCAACACCATCACGGGGCTGTAACCTCCACTAACCACTCCTGTGGAATCATGTCCTGTGGTGGGTCAAGGCAGAACCCTAGGTGCTCAAGCTGCTGGTGCATGAAAGGGATAAGGAAGAGCACAGTGGAGCCTGGACTGTTTTTTCCATGTCCTTCCATGGTGGGTTGAGGGACAGGAATCCATCCTCGAACTCCAGTGGGTCTTCAGCTCCTGACCTATGAACTTGGCACAGCTCGTGTAGAGATCCATGTGCAGGGTGTGACCTCCCTAGGAAGATCTTCCAGGACACAAGTGCTTCCTGCAGGATGCACCTGAACCTTCTGCCCAACCAGCAGTAATTGGGACACAGCTATGGGGATGAGCAGAGGGCACTGCTGGGTACAGTGTGGATACTAGAGAGGTGAGGAGGAGATGTCAGGTAGCAGAGGGACCTCCTGTGTAGAGTCCTGGCAGCAGCCACGTGTCATAGATTCACAGAATGGTTTGGGTTAGAAGGACCTTAAAGACCATCTGGTCCCAACCTCCCTGACATGCCCTGAAGAGGGTGTGGATCATGAGGTGCCCACAGGGTAGATGTGGTTGCACCTTCTAGGAAGGTCCTGCTTGACCCCGGCAGTGTCAATGGGGCTTGTGACCAAGTACAACCGCTCCACGTGGGAAGTGGGGGGATTCCTGTTCTCTCCTGGCTGGCAGCAGGGGGATGGTGGAGGAGAAGGACGCGGGGGCTGCCCACAACAAGCCTCGGATTTGCCAACTCCTAGGGTTTTTGTTTCTTTTTTTTGTATCCTGCTGTACGCGTCCCTTCTCCAGACGGGAATCTCCTCACCGCCCTGGCCCCCCGGCTCCGGTGGGCAGCTGCGGGGGCTCAGCCCCACGGGAGAGATGCCCGGGGCGGTGCGAAGGGCGCGGCGGCGGGGGCATCCCCCCGGGACCCCCCGCCCCTCCGCCCCCTCGCCGGTGCCGGCGGCGCAGCGAGCCCCGGCGAGGCGGATTTGGGCTGAAATCACGGCTTTCTCTGGATGATCGACAGCTCCGGGAGAAACCATCGGCGAGCCGGGGGGAGCCGCCGCCCGCTCGCCGCCC